AACCTCCCCTGGTGCAACTTGAGGCCATTTCCTCTCGTCCTGTCGCCTGTGACTTGGGAGAAGAGACCGACCCCCATCTCTCTACACCCTCCTTTCAGGGAGTTGGAGAGAGCAATAAGGTCTCCCCTCAGCCTCCTCCAGGCTCTACAGAGCATCAGCACTTGTACAGCTGTGCATGTTCCACTCTGGAGCATCACGCACCTAAGCAGAGAGGAATATTGAAAATGAACTCCTGTATCCAGCTCCTGCATGGAATCATCCTCCTACCACAGCTCCTCAGGAGCCATGGGACAATGTCCTTTCAACAGCTGTGGGAATTATCCACCTTGGCCAGTAGCAAGACCCAGTGCCTTTAACTGCAAGTGGTTTGAGCAGCCCGAGCGGGATGTCAAGGCAGGCAGAGATTTGCCTACGCAGCCAGACCACAGCAGCAAACACACACACACACACACACCAACTAGACCAAACGTGGCACCAGCGGAGACGTCGGTGGTGGCTTTCTGAGAAAAGCTTTGAGATGCCACTTGCCATCTTGCTGGGAGATGCTCGCTCCCCACAAGGGAGGTTTCTTTCCTCCCGTGGACTCATCCAGTAACTTGCAATTCATCAGTGAGGACTCTGCAAACCATCTCCTACAGCTTGTTTAGCAGCACACCAGCCTCCAGCACAGAAGAACCTGCGTGTCACCGAGCTGCAGCACACACAGGCTTTGCTCTTGCCAAGATAAGCTTCTTCCAGTGGCACCATTAAGCAAACCATTAAGCAGAAAACGCAAAGCAAACCAGATACCCATATCTGGGTCCAAATATCCATCTGAAGCACTGGGATGAGCAACCAGGGACAGCAAGAGAAGGAAAGTGAGCTAAGGGTGGTACTGACCGGGCTGGAGATCTGGCTGGGGGCAGGCAGCTGCAGGCTGCAGGGCTTGGCTCGATGCTTCCTCTGCAGCCAGAGCGCGAGGAAGGCGCAGATGCGAGGAAGTTTAGGGTCCCTCTCCATCCTCCCATCCCCATCACCATCGCGCGGCCCCAGTAACCGGCCACCCCTGAGAGCTCCCGGGGAAGCTGGGTCAGCTCCCGGGGCTACGGGAGGCTCCCGGGGCTGCGGGAGGCTCCGGTGGTGCTGCAGGGACGCCCCACGCTCGAGGGTGCCGGATGGAGGAGATACAGGTGGTTAAAGCCCAGCTGGCAGATGCGCAGTGGAGACAAGCCACTCGGTCGCACGGAGGCAGGTTCACGCTCCCACTCCCCAGCAACAGTGCTTGTGGTTGGGGTTTTTTTTTTTTTGCTTTGTTTCTGATTTTACTTTTTTTTTTAAAAAAAAAAACACAACCCAACAAACAAACCAAAGCAACCAAACTCACAGCTCGTTCGCGTTCCTTGGTTCAGACAAGACGCTGACGGAAAACATACAGGGTCTAATTAAAGTGACTTCCATCTCGTGCCACAGGAGTCTCAGATCAGGCTGTGATATTCGGGGGTATTTCCATCATAACAGGGGAATATTCTGAGAAGCTGCTTACTCTTCAAAAAGGAAGAGGAAAAACTCACGAAAGCCCACACAGGAGTCTGACCCCACCTTGGAAAGCTGCACATCCCTGCTCTCGCCCTGGCACGGGGGGACGATGGGATTCAGGGTGCATCGATCCCACGGGCAAATCCTCTGGCATCGATGGGATTTGCATCTAGTCCTTCCTTTGCTTTATGCTGCACAAGAGTCCTTCCTGTGGATGCTGGAGTTATCTAAGAGCCACCCTGGGAAGTTCCACCTGAGGTATTTTTAAGGGCATTTCTGATGCAGAGAGCTGCCAAACCCCCCGCTGCTCGGATTTACCGGCAGGACAGAGGAGAGGTATTTAGATCCCTTGGTTTGCCTCCCTCCCCCTCCAACCCTCCTCCTCTCTGACCTTTCCATTGGGCCAGGACAGACAGATGTTTTCCGCAGTGAGACCCCAGAGAGGGCAGGTAAGAAAGAAACCCCTTGAAATGAGCACAGAGACACCCCCACACCTTCGCAATTAGAAATAACCCCGGGTCAGCGCTGATTTTCTGAATTTCTCCAGAGAGCCCAGAGAGCCCAGCGTATGAAAAGAGGATCTTGGTTTGGACCCAGAGAGGCTACTTATGACTCTCTTGCCTCCTCCGCCCCCATAACACGCTCTTTGAGAACCGATAATGAAAGAAACAAATGACTTCAGAGCAGCAAAGCAGCTGGTCCCAGCCCCACGGAGGGAACCTCAGCGGCCAGTGAGGTCCAAAGCAAGGGAGCTGGGAGAGGGTGCCAGCACCAAACAGCCCCTTTCACGAGTCTCCAGGAGACTTGGTTCCTGCTGACACCTCCTTCCTCCTGCCACGGCCCCGGTGAAGCAGAAACCGTGGCCGCAGCGTGCAGGCTGAAGATGAGCATCACCGCTTCCAAGGAAGCTTCATGCTGCTCAACGAAGCCCTGCAAGGTTGCAGGCAGCCAGCTCACTGCGTGTGGGCAAGATCTGATGGGTCTCATCCTGACCGAGACAGTTTTGCATGTTGTGTTATCAGGAGAACAGCCTCAGAAAAGCCATCAAAAAAAAAACAACAACCCCACTGTAGGTCCACGCCACCAAAACGCCGGAGCGTCCCCCACTCAAGACCTAACACCGCCCCAGCAAGCTGACAAGATCAGAAAGCCACAGGAGACATAAATGACAGCACAGAAAAGGGTTTGGTGTGGGGAGGAAGGAGGAGGAGGAGGATGAAGTCAAGTCCAGGATGTCATGTGAGCAAGTGAGTAATAGCTGTTTTCCGTACGAGCAGTCCCACCTCGCCGAGACGGCAGGGGCGTGCTGCAGGGGTGGCTTGGGTTTGCAGAGAGGTCCCTGCAAGCTCTGCTTACGCCCTCGCACGCGTGGGATGACCCACCATGGGACAAAATACGAATTAAACACACGAGTCATCTCAAGGTGCACATCTAGAGCAGGCTCTTACCTTGTCTGCTGAGTCCACCAGGTCCTTCTCTATCCAAGTGATGTCTGACTTTGCCTGCGGGACAAGAAACGAGTGTCAGCACAGAGGGGTTGTGATAACTCTGCTAAAGTTTTCCCAAGAAACTTGTTTAGCAAGGCCAGGCGGGCTGTTTCCTGGTGTCCCACCACACACCACTCCTCAGGATGCCATTCTGAGCTGTGTTGGTGGCCCCAGGAGAGCAGTAGGAGCCAGTTCCTGATAAACTCTGATGGGCAGTGGAGAAGGACACTTGGTTATACATGTTCCCCGAGGATCAGACCATCACCAACGAGAGAGAATTAATTTCTGGCAGGTTGACTAACGTCTAGATGAGATTTTACTCTCAGCTACACCTGGACAAACTCCAGAAGCCTCTGTTCTGGTAGCAGTGTCTTGGGTCTGCAGGAAAGTTTGGCACCTCCATGGCAAAGAAAGGGCTTCTCTCCTCTCCAGGGCGTTTCTAAAGCACCAGCAGGAACATACTCAAATACCAAAACTCAACACATCCCTCGAGGGAAGGGCAGGGCCAGCCCAGCTGCTCTGACAGGTCCCTCAGCAGCCTCAGAAATGTCAGTTTATGCTGCCTCTGGGGCCAGATGCAACCCTTATGGGTTGGGATGCAGAAGCATTTCAAGGGAGCTCAGAAAAACACTGCTTCTGAGCCAGGAGATGGCTCCTTCTCCCCCCAAAAACTCAGACTTAAGGGAAGAAGGAAGTTTTTGCAAGGACAGGAAGTTTTTGCAAGGTCAGTCCCCAAGCCCGCTGTATTTTAATGAACACACATGGATCTGTCATCACATCCAGGTGCTCCTTCACCTGCTCTTGAGAAGAACCAAATCAGTTTGAACAGAAAAAAAAATCACCCCTCGAAAAAATCAGATTTTTAACATTTCCTCCCAGAGGTTCAAGCCTTTGGCTGCGGATGAGAGAAAACTCATGTGACTGCAGAGAGAAGGGATCTGAGAGAGGCTCGAGCTGTGACTTCTCTGGTGTCTTCTCGAGCAGTGTGTCAGCACAACGGAGCCCACGGCGCTGGGGAGGGCTCTTTGGTGCCAGCCACATCAACCTGGGTGGGCACAGCGTGGGGCAGGGGAGACCTGGAAGTGGGACAGGAGCTTCGGAGAGGCGAGAGAAGAAAAAAGCAAGCCTTGAGGGAAGGGAGGAGCCGAGTGAAAACGGCGAGATTAGAGTTAAGAATTAACCGATTTTCAGCTCCGGAAGGACTGAATCAGATCAGAGGGGGCCCCCGCAGTCACCCTTTCCTTTCCTCCCCTCCATCGCTCTGCCCTTGATGAGGGAGAAGCCAAGATCTCTTTGGGTTTGGGAGAAGGTGGCTGTCCCCCTGTCACTGTGGGAAGCGGATGCCCGGAGCAGCCAGCTCTCACGTCTGCCAAAGCCACAACCAAACTCCTTCCCCAGAGCCCAAAAGTGATCACAAACCCCTCAGTGGTCCCTTCCCCAGGGATCACACCCACCCAACTGGGAAACCAGCTCCTTCACCCACTGGGAAACCAGCTCCTTCCCAGCTCCGACCAGTGAGTGGGCACCAAACCCTGTCTCGGATGGGGATGGGTTGATTTCTCTCCCACAAGCACAGATCTCCCTGCAGGTCCCCCCTACCAGCACCCAAGACCCCACTCCCATGAGCTACCAAGCCTTCTCCTGACACCCACAGCCTCGGGGGAGGCCATTTTACACAGGAAATTCTCTTTGCTGCTCCTGGAAAATAAAAGCACACCCCCGGCCACCAGCCCGGTCTGAGCTCAAGGAGGTCGCTCAAGTCAGAGGAGGAGACAACTTCTTCTGAACTTCCCAACGCCGCCTTTGAACTTCACAGATGGCTTAGTCACCCTAGATCAGGGGCTGGGGACGTGCGTACGGGGCTTTTGGGTTGTTTTCTTTTTTTTCCAACACCAAGTTCAAAATGCAAGTCCTCTTTCCTACTTTCCCCCTTTTTTGAGGAAGGATTTTTACAAGCCAGAAGCCAAGAGACAGGTTTGTTTTTGCTCGCGTTTTGTCACTTTGCTGGTTGAGACAGTCACAACTAAATGCAAGAAGGAAAAAAAAAAAAAACCTGCAAGAGCTAGAAACAGATTACGCTTTTGGCATTTCGCTTCCTATTCATCAACAACTAACCAGAAGCTGTTTTAATTTCTGTTTCTTCAACACATGCTCTGGTCCCCCAAACACTCCCAAATTCTGGCAGCACCTAGGAAAGACGCTTCTTAGAAAGCAGTTTTACCACCGGAAATGCCTTTTCCAAAAGAGAAGTCGTTAATTAAGGCTGGATAAAGCCTGGCTCTCCAAGGTCAGGCGAGTCACCACCCTCTCGTGTCCTGCAGAAGAGACAGAGCAGAGCACTGCACGCAGAGCAGATATTTTATCAGACACTTGCCTCCTGGATCCTCGGCTTGCTGCGGAAGAGGAGCCTCAGCATCTCCAAGGCTTTAGGCCGCTATTCTCCCATACTTTGCAAGCTGCCTTCTGAACTTAGAGTGCTCTTGCAGCACCCAGACCAGCACGAGAACCCCGAGTGTAGTAGTGACGTCACTGGGATGTATTTTGGGAGTTTTCGCTGAAAGGAAACTGTGGTTTCGTATGGGGAAATCGCATTGTGTGGCCATGGCTGCACAGCACCAGCAGCCAGATGAAAACACTGGATGGCTTTAGGGGTGCTTAGGCACGGCTCTTTCCATCAGCAAATCTCAGCAGGCTTTTCAAGAGGATCAGTAGAGGGTTCCTGGTGTCACAGGCAGGAAAACAGGCACAGAAAGAGCAGTTTCTGTCCTTACACGAGGCAGCAACAAGCAACTGAGGGTGCATGTAGCTTTCTTCCCCAAAGTTACGCCGTCCCTGCTGGGAGCAGCACAAATGCTGATGGCAGCACAAACAGCCTCCCCAAGGGATCAGCTGAATCGTGGGTCTCCAGGGAAGGGGCCAGGAGGAGGCAACCCCCGTGGCCATCCCTGGTTGGGTCCCTGCCCCTCAGTGGAGTCACTGCTGTGTGTCAAGGGCTTTGGGACGCTGCTGTGAGGTCCCACGTGAGGTTTGCAGACTGATATCTTTATGGGAGGGTTGCACAATCCTGCCTGCTTGCTCAGGGGTCCTGAACCATGACTCTGCTCCGTGCCCTGCTCTGACACATCCAGGGATGCCCCAATAGGGCCGGAGCAGGAATGAGTTGGGAACTGGCCCAGCCAGGCAGCGCAGAAAGAGGGAGCAGGGAGGGATGAGGGCCTTCAGCCCCACGGCTCTCAATCAGTTCTCCCCCCAGTTTCAATGTTTGCAAGGAAAAGGGTGAGCCACGTCCTCACTCCCAGTTCCCATCAAGGGGCCATCTGCATTTCCTCGATGCAAAACACATGCCCTAGATGGTTTCAAAAGTTACCCAGCTGTTTCACCGGTGTCACTGCGAGGTCCTTTTGCTGTCTTACAGAATCCCTTCAGCTGTCCCCACGCCGTGCCTTGAAGAAGTCACAGTTCCTGCTGAACTTCTTTCCACATCCATGCGACTTTGGCAGCTGTGAAACTGCCCTGGGCTGCAGCCTTTGAGCTGGAGCTGTGCCTACACGGAGCACCCCCATAGCTCTTTCTCTCTCCTAGAGCCTGTTTTCCAGGGGGAAACCCTCCCTCCTCAGTGACAGGAGGCACAAGGGGTCCCCAAATAATTCCACAGCAGAGAAACACCGAAGCTGGAGCTCACATTTGGGCAGGTACAGCTTGTGCAAGGAATTTAAGCAGCTGCAGAAGGCAGCTGTGCTTCAGCGTGAGAGGGGATGATGCAGTACCCTGGTTCGTGGTCTGACCTCTCTTCTGGTAGGTTTTCTGACCTGGGTGCTAATGTGGACAAAAAGAATTGCATTTGCACCCCTGTCCTGCCTCGCCAGGGGCCTGGCTCAGCCTGCCTGCCCCTTTTCTCCCCTAGAAACATTGCTTTGAATTCCCAAGGCTTTTCACAAGGAAAAGTCCCACCCTGAAGCCTCTCTGCTAAACCCAGAGACCATAAACCAGCCTTGGTCAGAAGCAGAAGCCATCAGCTCTTTGCTTCGGGTGCAGTTAACAGCCATGGAGGGACCGGAGTACAAACCTCCATTGGTTCTCTGTCTTTGCTCCCAAGAGGAGGGACCAGAACCAAGTAAGCAGGTAACAATCCCAATAGAATGTGATTAATCTAAAGCAAGAAGCACAGACCAAAGGAAACTGTGGTGCAGGCAGCTGCGTGTGAACAGGCAAGTTGTGGGTCTCAGGGCAAGAGACACGTGGGCTGAGCCGAGGTGAGAGCCTGCCCCCATCCCACTTCCAAATGACCTTACACATCCCAGCTGAGTTTGACACTCTTAGGGAAAGAATTAAGTTGCTTCTAGGCCTTATTCCATATTTTCTGCAGAGGGAAAAGCTGGTGACAAAGTGGGTTTGCCACTTCTGTTCTTTCTGTTCCTCTACCCACGGGTGCTGGGAGGAGCGAGATGCTGCTGGTGGAGTGATGGTGGGACAGACACCGGTATCAAGGTGCCAAGACCCAGCTGTAAAGTCTGGGTGAACCTGGTCTCGTTGGCACATCAGGCTGAGGAAAGACCATCCCCAAATCCAGCCGTGCCAGATCCAAATGGTTCCCAGAGCAGAGTTTCAAGATACTGAAATCCACCTCTATGTCTGCAGACAAGACCCTAGGGCTGAGCTCCAGCGAGTCCCAACATCAGCTCCATAAAACAGGACACTATCCCTGCGGATTTAAATCAGAATAACCAGGGACTGCCTTTGCCTCCTGCCAGGATCCAGTTACGCCCCACCGAGCACTGGGAACAGCATCTGGGAGAGAAGGAGCAGGGTTTCATAAACAGGAAGGTGATGATGTGAAGAACTGATGCCTGAAGAGAGACAGGTGCTGTCACATCAATACGCTTCAGAAGTGGGACTGGTGGCCCCATGCTAGACCAAAGGGATGTCCCAGCAGAGGTCTCAGCTGCTGGCCCCGAAGCACTGGATGAAGAAGACATCTACTGGTCATGCAGACCCCTTCCAGTGCAGCCTGTGCC